ACAGATGTACACACACACACACACACACACACACACACACTCACACACATGGACACACACAGAGTGCTGGTTCAGGCCCATTCATTTATGCTGAGAATGATTTGTGCTGTGTGCTGCTTGCTCATTAAGTCCAGCTTACATAATGAGAGGCGAGGAGAGGAGAGGTGGAGAGGGGATATGAGATGTACAGATGGGAGGAGATGAGGGGGAAGAAGAGAATGAGAAGAACAGATGAGAGGAGGTGAGAGGAGAGGAGTCGAACAGATGGGAGAATAAAAGATAGAAGACTAAATGAGAGGAAGAAGAAAGGAGGAGAGGTGAAAGGAGAAGATGGGAAGAAGAAAAGATGAGATTCTGTTCCTGTCCAGAAGAGGAGAGGAAGGATGAGATGAACATATAATATGATCGGAGATATGAGAGGAAAGGATGAAAGGAGTGAGGTGAGGAGGAGAAGAGATGAACAGAGGAGATCCTGTTCATCTCCAGAAGGGGAGAGGAGGTGAAAAGATGAAAAGAAATGAAGGAAATTAGGAGTTAACACTAGAACTGCCAGGGGTCGTTGTATACCTAAAACCAGCAGCGGGTAAAATGTACCCATGCACATGACTACTGTTTTGATATGTCTAAAAAACGTATTATGTCACTGCATTATGCCACTGTCTTCACAAGTAATGTCTAGTGCCACGAAATGATAATTTTTAGTCATCAACTATGTTTTGTCCTGTAGTTTTATGTGCAGGCTACACTAATCACTTTTCTTAACGGCTAATATAGGCTAAACCAGCCTGCAATGACAACGAGAATTAGAAGGAAATAAATACATATTTGGGTATTATAATATTATAATAAAATATCATTAATCACATATTAAGATAACCCATTTTATTTAAATTACTAAAATACCCTAAATAGGCAATAGTGAGCAATAATAATTCACAGGATCAGAATTTTATTTATTTTTTTTTTTCAGGAAACGGGCAGACTAGTATAAATAGCAACACAGTAGAGAACAATAACGTTAAAAATTGCAAAACAAAAATTCATTATAAATCCAAATTTATTTTTATTTTTATTTATTTATTTTTTCAGGAAACGGGCAGACTAGAATAAATAGCAACACAGTAGCGAAAAATAAACAATAAAAATGGCAAAACTAAAATTAATAATTAATCCAAAGTTTATTTTAGCCTACTCATAAATGTTCAAACTTTGGATTAATTTTTTAATTTTTGTTCATTTATTATTCACTACTGTGTTGCTATTTATTCTAGTCTGCCTGTTTCCTGAAAAGAAATATATATATATAAATGATTTTAGCAAATGGCTGCAACATAACAAAGAGTGAAAAATTGAAGGGGGTCTGAATACTTTCCGTACCCACTGTATATATATATATATATATATATATATCGAGGGGTGAGAACCAGAAGGGCAAAAGTGACATTTTGGGTGAAATGGGGATATATATATATATCTTAGCTATATAGCTCTATAGCTTTTGATGAGCTCTTTCTACTGCCAAAAGGACACAAGTGAATTCATATTAATTTTGGAGTTATTTATTAGAAACCAAAAGACTTAACACTGAAAATACTAAGCCAGTTGGTGCCAAAAGGGCGTAACTGCACTTACGCCCCTTTGGTATTGGGAAATGTATTGTAGTAAAGCCTGTGGACAGCACATGAGTCAAAACGGCTGACACAACAAGTAAGCCTGGTAGGTCAACCATGAGAAGACAGCAGTTTTTAACTACTGAAGATGTATTATTAAGCTTATTTTGTGACAGAGCTGGATGATGATGGAGAAAATTAAAATATCCAGGATTCAATGTCAGTAAGGTGTAGCTAGCTAGCAGGTAGAAACCAATAACTTACATTCTAATGGTATATCATATAGGCACTCAGTTACTGCTTAGCCACAAGAGAGAGAATGCAGAGAGAGGATTTTTATTATTATTGTTACAGTTTTTCTCTATTGCTAACACACTATAACTGATTCATTTGGCCCAGTTTTCCAAACCATTCATACAGTTCTCGAAAGAAAGACACGTTTCTCAAAACTTTGAACACATTTCACCTGTTTGCACACACGTTCCAATTTGCTCAGTGTTTTCTGCTATGTAACACAGCACACTGATGTACTGTACAGTAAATATAAAAGAGGCACCTAACATCATACCCAAGACCCAGAGCCATTTTAAACACCATTCTTCTATTCTACTTACACATGATATTGATCTTTTGTTCTACCTTGAGGGAAAAAAGGACTTATTACCTAAAATAAGGTTGTGCATGCACAAAAGGTAGTGAAACACAGGATCAGGATCATGAGTGATATTACAGTTTTCTCGATAGCTAACGCACTATAACTGATTCATCTGGCACAAGTTTCCAAACCATTCATGCAGTTCTCGAAACAAAGACACGTTTCTCAAAACTTTTAACACATTTCACCTGTTTGCACCCACATTCCAATTTGCTCAGTGTTTTCTGCAAACCT